ATTTGTTTCCCCAAACTTTTATTGAAGGGGATTCATCCTTTACTGCAATTTGTATAGGGGGTTTTTAAGTCTGAAAACTGGTATTCATGTTATATGTTTTGTGATCTGCTTGGTTTTAATTAAGAATTTTAAAATGTTTTTAATTTTATTTATTTTTTTAAATTGCCATCAAGTCAAGCTGACTAGCGGGGCTTGAAGCCAAAGGGGACATTCAGAGGTGGCTTACCATAGCCTGCCTGTGTCACTTCCCTGGTATTCCTTGGAAGTTGCCCTTCCAAATACTAGCCAGGGCTGCCCCACTTAGCTTCTGAAATCTGATAAGATCGGGCTTGCCTGGTCTATCGAGGTCAGGGCTAAAATATTTTTTACTATATTTTATTTTGTAATCTGCCCTGGGATTGTTACATTTTATTTTATTTTGTAAGGATCCCTGGAGAGACAGCATAAAAATCCAGTAAATAAATAAATAAATATGACCCGTGTTCATCGTGATTACTTATATCTAGGTGAAGCGAGCTGCCACGGTTGGTCGAAGTGGCTATAAACACTTCCTTAAAGGTGGGGCTGGTTCAAAGTACTTTGAAGGAGGTGGTTGTGAAGCCCTTCCTAAGAAGCCATCTTTGAACCCAAGGAACCAAACTATTAGGTGGTAGCAAACATTCCCCCTTTTGAAAAATGCTATAACAAGTAAGATTCCAGGCTTTCAACCTGCCTTTGGGACAGAAACTGCTTTGGTTGTTCTGATGGATGATCTTCATAGGGCATTCAACCCCCCCCCCCGGCCCTTAGGGTTTCTCTGGGATGGTTTCCTTAGTAAGCTAGTCAACGGCAATCCCTAAAAACCCACTGCTGGCAGATTATAGGACTGGAATACCTGAGAGTCCCCACCTTATTTCTGTAGAGTTCTCCCTAGCTCTAGCTGCAGCACTGGATCTTTATGGTGCCCTTCAATAGGAAAGGCATAGAACCACAACGCTGGCAAAGAAAACGCAAACCCACACCCTAAATTAGTACATTTTTGTAAACGGCAACTTGGCTTGAACTGCACTCTAGCGTGTGGGGGTGGGGAGAAGGAATGTTTCTTTTCTCCCTTTCTTATGGTCACCAAGACAAAATCTTTCCCCACTACCCAAGATTGCAGAGATGGTCTTGGTTGCAGACAGTATCTAGGCTTGCTTCCCCCCCATTCCATCACCCTTCCCACCCCATTTTCTATAGTCACATCACCATACGATCAATAATTTAAAATTCTCCAAAGTTCCTTCTGATAAATAAGAGTAAGAAAGCTTGATATGGAAGCAGCTGTTTGGAGACTGGATTAGTGTCCTTTTCGCAGCATAGGAAGGAGGCTCAGATGCATTCCAGGCGCACTCAAACAGAGGCGCCCCCACAATGCCCTTGGAGGTTGGTCACATCTTTTTTTCTCCCAGCTGTTGACTGGCAGGTGCAGAGGCAGCACCACTGCTTCCCACCATGTCTGTTTCAGTCAGTTTTCCACACCTTGTTGAGTACTTTGACCACTTCGTCATAGATGATGAACACGATGGCCACATCTAAGAACACCTGGCCCAGACGGGGGACGGTGCCCTTATAAAACGCAAAAGGTCCTTCATATTTCATGATCTGGTAGGCACAGTCCCAAGTGCTCTTGTATTTCTTGTATTGCAGATGACACGAAGTTGTTCAGGGTGGTGAAAACCAGGGAGGATTGTGAGGCACTCCAACGGGATCTGTCGAGGATGGGCGAGTGGGCGTCAACATGGCAAATGGGGTTCAGTGTGGTCAAGTGCAAAATGATGGGCATTGGAACCAAAAATCCTAACTATAAATACACGTTGATGGGGGGCCGAACTGGCAGAAACTGACCAAGAGAGAGATCCTGGAGTCGTAGTAGAGCACTCAATGAAAATGTCTAGACAGTGTGCAACTACAATAAAAAAGGCCAACACTATGTTGGGGTTTATTAGGAATGGAATTGAAAACAAATCAGCCAGTATCATAATGCCCCTGTATAAATCAATGGTGCGACCTCATTTGGAGTACTGTGTACAGTTCTGGTCACCACACCTCATAAAGGATATTGTAGCAAAAAGTGCAGAAAAGGGCAACTAGAATGATAAAAGGGTTGGAACACTTTCCCTATGAAGAAAGGTTAAAGCACTTGGGGCTCTTTAGTTTGGCGAAACGATGGCTGAGAGGTGACATAATCAAGGTCTATAAGATTATGCATGGGATAGAGCAGGTAGAGAAAGAAATACTTTTCTCCCTTTCTCATAATACAAGAACTCGTGGGCACTCGAAATTGCTGAGCAGTTGGGTTAGAACAGATAAAAGGAAGTCCTTCTTCACCCAAAGAGTGATTAACACATGGAATTCACTGCCACAGGAGGTGGTGGAGGCTACAAGCATGGACAGCTTCAAGAGGGAATTAGATAAGCATATGGAGCAGAAGTCCATCAGTGGCTATTAGACACAAGGTATAGATAGGAACTCTCAGGCTGGGACAAGCAATGCACTGTATTCTTGGTGCTTGGGGGGGCAACAGAGGGAGGGCTTCTAGTGTCCTGGTGCCACTGCTGGACCTCCTGATGGTACCTGGTATTTTTGGCCACTGTGTGACAGTGTGTTGGACTGGATGGGCCTGATCCAACATTGGCTTCTCTTGTGTTCTTATGTTCTTATTTGTGCGCTTCAAGACCCTGCATCCTGGTCATTACAACATCCAATGGAGTGTTGCCGAACACACTGGCAGCTCCGGTAAGAGTCCCAAATATCCCAGTGACCAGAGGCATTAAAGAGTTTGGAACCATGTTGATAGTCATGGATCTCTTAGAGGCTTTTGATACATTTGACTATAGTATCCTTCTAACCCATTTGGCTGAAACAGACATCAAAGACACAATTCTTTGGTCTTGTAGTCTATACAATATCAGAAGTAGTCCTGGGGCTTGTTTCTTGGACCCTAACATTAATGTTATACGGCTTTACACAGGAGGGATCTTGCAGAGATCTAAAGAGAAGTGTCATCAATATGGTGCCGATGCCTGACTCTACTAGTATAGTGGTGTATCTTCTGATACAGTATCTGGTGCTCATAATGAACTGGATGAGACTCAATAAACTGAAACTCAGTCAAGACCAGACTGAGCTGCTCTTGGTGAATAATACTGCTAACTGGTTAGTAAGGGATTAGGGTTGCCCTCCTTTTGAAGGAACAAGTACAAGTTTACGGCTTGGATGTGTTTCTAGATCAGCTGCTAATATATCTCACAATGAATTTGGCCAATTGTGGCCAAATTCTGCTTCTCAAAGAACTGGTGCACCAGTTCTGAGACTTCACCTGCAAATCTCCACTGTGGCACAGGCACCTTTGTGGCTGGTGCACCAGTTCTTTGAGAAACAGAATGTGGCCACAATTGGCCACATTCATTGTGAATTATATTAGCAGCTGGGTTTTTCCCCCCAATTCTGAAAAAAAAAAGAGTTCAATAATAAACAGTAAACACATTGGAGACAACTGTCAAAAACAAAGATTATGTTCAGATCACTGCTAGGATATAGGGGTATGTGGTTATCACATTTTTATCCCACCCTTTTTCTACCAACAAGCAGAATTCCCAGATGTATCACAAGCTTCCTTGGTTTTCCAGGCTGCTGGCAAAGTCTCTCTACCTATGTAGCTTTCTTGTTACTAGTCAGTTCCAACAAATGAGAGTGGGGAAGCCTATGACAAGCCAAGCCTCCTTCTCCTTGCTCTTGACTTAAGATAGTCTCCATCCACAAAAGCCCCATTCTTTTTCTGCTTCACTGAATTTCTGATTTTTTAAAAACACAAACAGCCCTCACCTCCCACTCGCCAGTTGACAGTGACCCCCCTTCTGCCCAGTTTCTGCAATGCATTTCCTACAACACACTCTGAAACAAAGAGATGTTCTACATCTCTCAGCACCTCCCTTTTAACTCTTGCTTTTTCATAATGATCTGTGGTTTTATTTTCTATCTGAAAGAAAATAAAGGTTGGTAAAGTAATATGTGATCATAGCCAGGCCACTCACTCATTCATTCACTCTTGGGATAAGAAGGTAGAACTCTCTTTATTGGAAGGGTGGTATATAAATAGGTAGGTTGTAAATTACTTTTGACTGTAATGCTGTTTTGTGTGACCCAGTTTCTACCGTGGATCTTGGCAAACTCACAAAAGCACATGGATTAAGAGGGATCTTTTGTCCTGCTGTCCTTTAATAATTCTCCTGACTAGAACTGCAGGTCTGTCTCATCTCTCTCAATAAGGGGTCATGAGGGTAGGAGGAGGGAGAACACACCATCAATAGCTGGATGCAGCTGGGACAGCAATATTTTCTGCTGTTCTGAGTTATCCTCCCTGTATGCAGGAGGCTAAGGGGCAAAGCTGTTGAACAAACTAGGATTTCTGCATTCAGATGTCATGACAAACCACAGTTAGTATAAACTACAGATAATACAGCACCCATCAAAAAGCCACTATGCTGAGTAGCCAGCATTCAGACAGCGTACTAACTCAGGGATTAACAAAACCATAGTTTATGAACTAATATAATGATGTCTGCATGCAGCCAGAGTGCCAGGCAAAAGGTCACCCAGGGAGCATTATGGCAGAGTAAGGGCTTGACGGCAAAGGATGAGATGGTCAGACAGTGTCATCGATGCAACGAACATGAAGTTGAGCAAACTTCAGAGGACAGCGGAATACCGGAGGGCCTGGCGGGAGCTGGTCCATGGGGTCGCAAAGAGTCGGACTCGACTGTGCGACTGAACAACAACAAGGGCTTGAAACTCATTCTCCACAGTCCTAGGCCAACACTAACCATTACACCACAGTGGTTTCTCCTAAACATATATATGTTCCAAAAACAGAAGAGAACACTTGGGTATTTGTAGAACTAACATCTTATATATTTTGCAGGCATCTCATACATTTATACAAAAATATAAATATAACAACATTCCAAAAACTGACATACCCAATTGCTGAAACAGCAGAGCCACACTAGTCCCTGTAACAGGAAGACTATCATGTAAAGGTGTTTGTATCAGCTGCCTGTCTCCTGCTCCCAGAGAAAATAGCTTCTGTAGAAAAAATATTTTAATACACCATTTATTGTTTATGCAATATAGAGTTTTGCATATATTGTCAGATAAATATTACATTAAACTATTTATCTTTTAAAATAACATACTTTATCTACAATTCACGAACTAATTTATAGCAACCATAAATTAAATTCTTGCAACTGGAGTCACCTACTGAACAAGGGCTTGCCCATGTCTCAAATGCCCAGCATTATGTAAGATACCTCCTCCCAAGTTCTCTATGCATGGGAACAAAACCCTGAGAAGAACACAGTTTTGCATTTTCCACTTGGATGTTGATACAGTCAACAGCAATGTTGATATCAACTGTCTCCAACTTCGCCATCCATATTCCAAGTATTCATCACATTCCAGAGTAACTTTTTAGGACTTCTCTTAAGCACCCATTCTTTATTAATTGGCTTCCAGTGAAAACCCATTTAAAGTCATATATATTTCAGTCATTAATTTCTTTACTTCCTGCAAGATGCTATGAATGTCTCCTTTCCAAGAGGGAAGGAAGGAACAGTATGGGATAATGGTCACCAAGTCAGGTAAAATTTGGGACTCCTGTGCAAAAATATGTAAATACTAACAAAATAACCATTATCAGGGAGGGGAACAAGAGCAATAATTTTAACTAGATAGCTAGGGTTGCCAAATCCACTTACCTCTGCGGCGGGGGACTTTGTGCTGGCTCCCGGCAGCATGCATGTCACAGGGAAGTGACATCATGACGTCGGGGACGCTGGGGGCGGGGCACAGCCATTTGAGGGGAAAACATAGAGTTTTCCCCTCAAATGGCTGTGCCCCGCCCCCGGCGTCACTGTGCACGCAGGGGTGGGGTTTCCCCGGGGGGCCGATTCCGCGGGGGCGGAAATCGGACCTCCAAAGCGGGGGGGAAATCTGCCCCCCGGGGGGATTTGGCAGCCCTATAGATAGCAGTGAGGCCACAAGCATCTCCAGGACACCTGCATCTGAAGAAGATTAACCTCTCAATATTTAGTAAAAATTAAGTGCCTATGCCAGTATTTTAAAAGGGCTCTGTTTCAAGCACAGGAGGAGAACGAATGAGAATGAACTTGCCTGACCCAGAAGGAAAACCAGGCAGTCCTGACAGCATGGGAAAGTGAACAATTAGAGGGATGGAAAGGAATCTGAGGTTGCACATCAAGGATTTAGATGTTTGTCCAGTTAGAACAGTAAGGTTGGTAAATTAGAAAGGGCAGCACGTAAATTAAAACAAGGGGAGGAGTTGGGAGCTGAAGTACACGGTGAAGCTTACTGAGAATTAGACAGGGTGAAGAGCAGGACCTACAGTTACAGTGCTAAAGAGCACCTGACACTTTTCTATCTTGGCAGTAAGCTTCAGTCTACTGTCAACAGAGCATGTTCAAAGCAATGAGGTGGGATGAGTAAAAGCCTTTGGTTTTTCTACCATGCCCTGCTTCTGAATTTACTATGATCTGGCTGCCACTTGGATGGCATCTTCTGACACAGTCAAAACAGAATGGTCTAAACCTAAAAATATGAGTTCTGCACAGGCACTTCATCATATGCTCAAAATTACCAATATGCAGCACAGCATTAAATTACAGCAATTTTCCTAAACCCCTAGTTTCATCATCTTTGTGCTACAAACAGAAATGTACAAGTATCACAGAAATCCAGGGAAAACAAAAAAACAAAATACTGAACTACATCCATCAGAATTCAAAGACTCAATAAAAGCAACCACACCATATGCAAATCAAATTTAATTTTTTTAAAGCACTAGTAATAAAAAGGCTGAAATCTGAAAAGTTCCTTAATTGATACTGTGCCTCATAAAGGCAACTGCAGTGAAAATTAACCCTTTGACCTTATTGTGGAAAGGAATTCTTGCTGTCTTCAGAAGAAGGGCCACTGGGACAGACTCAGTTGAACCACGGTCTTTTATTAAATCAAAATATTTGAAGAATTTATGTTTTGCTTTCTTCATAAATTAAGTTAACTGGATAAATATCCTTCCACCTCCCATTTACCTGTGACCCTCCAGCAGCAGGGACAAAGCATGAACAAAGATTTGCAATCAGGCTTTCCAATGAGACATTCAGGTTGTCCACGTACACAGTGTAGACCAAGCCAAGGCAAGCCTATAACATTAAATAAAAACATATATAATTGCAATCCGGGGATACCAAATATACATTTATTAGTATAAGAATCACAATTTTAAGAGATTTACAAATGCCAAAAAAATTATTTTACTTGATGAAAAACATCCAAAATCTTAAACTTTTCTTGAGTTCAAATTGTATACTCTGAGTAGTATTTTATGTGTGTGCACGCATATATGCATATGTCCCTCCTTAATGAATGCCTGAGGTTTCCGTGTCTCTTGCTGAGTGTCTCCCAGATGAAATCCTGCTTACTTTTCCTCACATTGGTCAATAGGTGCCACTGTGGACCAAGCCCATCCTTCTCTGCAAAGCCTGCCTCTTTAGTGCCTTGAATTCCATGAATCAAAACCAGGATAGAAGTCTTTTAAGCAAAGGGGACAAGAAAGTATTGTTTCATTTGTTGTTTGTATACCATGCGTGTCTCAGAAATAACAGTTAAAAGTTTGTGATGCCAGGTCCTACTGAAACAATATATAGGAAGTTACAATTAAGGAACCTCAGTGTTGCTGTTAAGCGTAAAGTATCTAACTCAAAAAAATTCAATGCAATATATGAACAAGCTCAAAGACATCTGGTAGTTATAGCAGGATCCTAGCCATCATCAGAAATAGACCACTGCGTGACAGGAAACTTTGTGTTCACCTATTTTGTTTTTTAAGATTAAAGGGCTGGGGGAGGAGCTCATTTACTTATCAGAACCCCACCTTCTTACTCCTTTTCATTCCTGAACCAGTTGCTGCTTTGGTACAGTTTATTTTAGTTGTGTTCTTGGTTAAAGTGAAGCTTATTTGACTTAGTGAATGTAATAGCTATGCTGCTATGGCAGCAGTCAGCTTTCACTACATATTTAACAAAGTTATGAAGCCAATTCAGACTAACGGCAATTTCCCGCCCTTATTATGAATGTGAACAGGTTCATCCTCTTTTGCAGAGTGCCTTGAAAGTCCACCAAAAACAGAAGTGTTTTTCATGGTTGCTGAAAGTTCTTACAAAAAAAAAGCTGTCCTGTGTCCTTTCGGCCCTATGTTTTATTGGAATCAGTCATCAGAATAGTAGTTCACAGGGAAAGAATTACTCAAGTAAGTTCTTCCTGCTTTTCTTAATATAATTAATGCTTTAGAGACCCGATAGATACTTATTGTTTCTATTACTTCAGGCCAGCAATATTATTGCTAGATCAAATCTGTAGTTCTCTCTCCCCTTGTCCTTTATGCAATAGAGGCTCTCACCACTCACGTTCGCTCACTTCAGAAGCTACAGGAGAAACTGAACATTATATTTGTGAAATCCATTATACTATATAAATAAATAAAATTAATTTAATAAATAAAATTAATTTACTTTGACTAAAATACCAGGGGTTGCTCTGAAACGTAAACATTTACTTGTGTATTTAGCTGAGAACTCCGAACAGTTCTTTTGTGGCTGATGTACTTATGAAAACATGTGACCAGTAGGGAGGAAATGTTGGTGCCCATTATTATATAGGCCAATTCTATTTGTACTGATTTAAATTCTCAAAACAGTGCAGAGAAGGCTTTAAAAAAATGCTTGTGAATAGTCCTCAGTGAAAATAAACAGTTTGTACATTGGCATGGATTATAATCAATAGCTAGGTGCTTTTACCCTGAAGATTTCTGGATAATCTAATCTGGACACCAACACCAGGCTTTTGGGAGCAAATACTTCTGCTGGCTGAATCAAACCAGAATCTTCCTCTCCTTCAGTTTCTCTTGTCCCCTTGAAAACAGACACACTTCAGTCAACAAAGAAAGCATCATTACCTTTGTGAAAGTACTATTTTTGGTACAGGGTTTTTTTTTTTATTATGGCCCACAGGCCATTTGGAAACCGGAAAAAAAGCTTTTATAAAATTAATTACCTACATAAAAATCTCAGGCTACATCATTCATCTTAAAATAATTAATAGTTAAAGATTAGAATCTGAGAAGATTATACACAAGACATTAACTTGGCCAATATTTTCATTACAGAGAATAAATATAGTTCCTTGGTCACAAACCTCCCTAAAATTGTGAGAATCTTCTACTCAAAAACAGCTTTTTAAATCAACCTACACAGGTTCCAATAAATTGAAGTGTGTCTGTACATAAAATGTACAATGGAAAAACATGTGAACAAATGTTTCAATCAGGTTAGCAGAGCAATGACAGAAACTACAATTAGATGGAATGTTATTCTGTCTTCCTGTCAAGAGTGCACATGGTAGCATGTTAAATCTAGCCCATGTAAATGCATGGTGATATCTTGGAAGAGTTAGTATTGATAGGTAACACACATGTTGCTGTGGGATCATTGGAGCAAAGCTGAACAGCAGGAGACAACACACACTATAGGCTTTAGCTAGGGCTGCCAGATCCCCCGGTCCCGCGGAGGTTTCCCGATTTGGGGGGGGGTTCTATCCTGCCACCAGGCAGCTGGCCGGTGGGGGGAAGACCTGCTCCCAAGAGCAACCACCTGCCAACCCCTACTGCAAGATTTAAAGAGCCCTCCAGCTGGCCCTTTAAATCTTGCAGAAGAGAGGGAGTAAGAGGGGTAGCCGCACACACCTGCCCTCCAAGCTGTAAATTCGTGGCTTGGAGGGCAGGCATGCGCAGTTTTCCCCACCTCTTCCCAATAGCATTTAATGTCTCTTTAAATGCTATTGGGAAGAGGCAGGGGCCGTGCGCCTGCCCTCCAAGCTCCAGATTCGTGGCCGCTTTAAATGCTTTTGGCAAGAAGTGGGGCCACCAGTCCCCAACATGATGACGTCACTTCACTTCTGTGCGATGTCATCATGTTGGGGACATCCCCGCCCCCTCCAGTAACACCCCAAAGCCCCCCACTGGGTACTTGGAGGGACCTGACAACCCTAGCTTTAGCCAATGTTTCTTGAAAGTTGATGTCCTTTATACGGTCTTTGATTGCTAAAGGTTTAGTGTTTAATATACCAATGCTTGCTGCAATCAGAAAAAAAAATGCCTTGATACTTAATGAAAACTTCACATTTTGGAATATACAAAAATACATTTTATAGCTTATTGGTCTCAAGATTATTACAATAACCAAATAAAATAAGCACAGCATTTGCACAGAAGCAGGGAACAACTACTGTGGGTAATACTAGTAAAAATACTAATAATTTAGTTAATGCAATTTGAACTTTGCACTGGAACAGAAAGCATGGCTGTTTTGAACAAGTTTATTCAAAGTTTCAACATATCCCACTGTCAACCATGAATAAAAACCATGAATGAATGTTGCACTGTGTGTATATTATGGTGGATTTCAAAACACCCCATGCAAAGTCCCCTGCAGAATTTGATCTGAAATCTTACCTTTCATGCATGCAGGCATTCCATGCCCTCTGGTTAGTTGAACCCCTCATCTAGCTATTGCCTCCCAGCAAGAGGGGCTGAGCCGGCTCTAATAGCTGTGGTTATATGATCAAAGAGACGGGTTCCAGAGGGGTAGACTTGGATTCTAGATTCACTTATCTCCTGGGTTAAACCATTTCCTCTTCTGATCATTGTTCTTTTCTATTCAAAATTATTGTTTCTAACACAAAGTAACAGAAAATATTGACTATACCAAGGGTCCCTAACCCTTATCATTGTTCTTTTCTATTCAAAATTATTGGTTCTAACACAAGGTAACAGAAAATATTGACTATACCAGGGGTCCCTAACCCTTTTGAGCATCTGGGCACCTTTGGAATTCTGACACAGTATGGTGGGTGCAGCCACAAAATGGCTGCCACAGAATGGCTGTCGCAAGAGGCAGAGACTACCAAAAAGAAAGAAAGATGCAGCAGTCACATAGTGAAGATCCTTGAGCTGTGATGG